ACATCCTCATTATCAGCATCACTACCATCGTCAACATCCTCATTATCAGCATCACTACCATCGTCAACATCCTCATTATCAGCATCACTACCATCATAAACGTCCTCATTATCATCACCATCATCATCATCACCTTATCATCATCATCAACATCATCATCATCACCACTATCAACATCCCCACCATCAACTTCATTAATTAAGTTTTTTAAAAGTGTTGTATGTTAATGCGTTGGCAAGGGTTGACGAGCGACAACAAAACACGCTTAATATAAACTACTGATAGCTATCACGTGGCACCCTATAGAGCTTTTACTGTAAGTTTTGACGTATTTCCGGATCCAATAAAAACCACTAAAATAAAGCGAAAGATAATTTAACCTTTCTTCATAAACAATTAGGAATTTGAACAACAAATCCTGTCATGGAGATAAAGTAAGAAAAATCTAGAACTGCTTTTCGTTCTGGTTTCGGAAGTGGACTTTTGATACTTAAAACAAAGTATATATACATACATAGCACTGACAAAGAAGCTTTTTGTTGCTTGCTTCCCAAAGAGTTTGTTGCTACACATTTGTAAATCCCTCCATGGACTTCAGCGACTTTATCAATAACTAAAGTATTGTTTGATAGGACCCGAACGTTCCCAGAAGGCATTGAGTGTGATGTGATGGTTATTCCATTGGGTAGGAGCCATTGTATAATCGGTGAGGGTTCACTTGTGGCTGCGCAGCTGAAAATTACTGTTTGGTTTTCTTTGACTACTTTGTTGAAGGGAGAGATTGTGAACCTTGGAAAACCTGGTGGAAATAGAAGAATGGAAAGACGGACGGACATACATTTTATTGTATTGTGTCATCAAAATATCCGCTAGTTTTATTTTCAGTATTGAAGAAAAGATGCCATAAAATGGTTCTAACCACAAGTTATGTACATTTAAGTCCCTAAGCGGACCTTTGAGCTTAATAGAAAAAGAGTAAAATATGAAGTTGTTTACAAAGAAATGCCATGTTTAGTGTTGAGTGTATGACGTCACAGAACCTATAGAAATTCGTAAAAATACTGAACTGAGGGGGGATCTGGAGAGAGAAATATTGTTAGAATCAAAATGAAAAATCAATGAGAATATGGTATCTCACTAATGATGGCTCAGTTGTTTTAGCATCGGTCTGTTGTGCGGGAGGTTGTGGGTTCAATCCCTGGCCGGACCAACACTCAGGGTCTTAAAATACGCGTGGAGAAATTGTTGCCTCTGTAATTACATCTGGGCAAATAGTTTTGCCTCGAAGTGGTTCAGAAGATGCTCCAAATCCTTGTTTACGAGTACAATGTTGATATTTCTAGTTCGGCTGTCTTGAATTACAGCAGTCAACGAAAAAAAGCATGCGTAGACATTAATTTAAGTCACGTGATCGGCTGGCTCCGCCCTCTCTTAATCACTCGGCAACATTGTCGTATTGATTGACAGCTAGTACATGCTAATTGATAGGACTGCAGACCGGAACTCTATAGCAAAAGCCCGCAAAAGTCCCTTGGGTAATGTCCTGAAGGCTCCTGGAAACTATTGCGCAACTTGTCCATTTTGTGATATAGAACTAAATTCTTATATTCAATAAACCCAATTTTCATTTTATTCGCTTCCATGACAATTATGCTCCTAAGTCCCTGAATTGATACCATAATACAAATTTCCTATTAAAATATAGAAAAAGCATCTTACCCAGAACAGTCAACTCCACAGAAGCATACGTAACACCGAAGTCATTTTTTGCTTCGAGCTTGTATTGTCCTGCATCAGACTTCATTATGCTACTGATTATCAAGGTTCCATTATCAAATATCTTTATCCTTTCTCCGTTTGATAGTACAGCACCTTTGTAGTACCATACTACAGTTGGCAAAGGATTTCCAATAACCTTGCAAGTGAATGATGCCGTTTGGCCAACATGTGGAGATTGAGCTGAAGGTGGTTGAACTACTTCAGGAGATCCTTTAATCAAAACAAACTATATTACTAAAATTTATTATAAATAATCTGTCGATTGAGCTTAGTAGTATAGCATTTCAAAATAATACCCAGGGACTACCCTCGTCTCTCATCAATGCAACCCAGTTTTGAGTCCCACCTGGCTCAGTAAGATATGTGAGTAGAGTTGTTTGTTGATTCTCTCTCTGGTTCTCTGGCTTTCTTCCCTCCGCAAAAATCAACTTCTAAATTCCAATTGGAATTTCAGTGGATGAAGAGCGACTCTGTGGAAATGCCACTGTTAAATCCATATTTCCAAGATGGCATCTATTTTGTGCCATTAAACAGTCCCACAATGCAAAGCAATGTCAATTTGACCCTTTTTTCCTCAACCTCAGAATGGATAATATATCTCAAAGTTAAGACCAACCTTCCACAGTAAGTCTTGCTTGATTACTTGTGATAATGACTGTATTACTACTGGCACGGCAGGAATAAAGCCCAGCATCATCAAAGGTCACTCTGGTTATAGTTAGGTATGCCTTGCTATTAACATAAGAGTTACCCCGAGTCACATTACTACCATCTTTCAGCCAATAATAGGTTGCRTTAACTAAACCTGTTGCTTGGCAACTGAAYGTTACTGTRCCACCTTTGATTTGGAAATCATCTTGTGGATGTTCGATGAAACTCTGGCTTGATGAGAAACCAAAATTATGTAGAAAAACTAGGAAAAAAATGCTGTGTTAGTTCACTCCTAGCTAGTCTGCATATAGCAAAGTAATTTTTAGCTTTTATAGTGGCCCCAAAATTCAACCCCCTTTGGGCCCCTTCACATTGGGGGTGTACTATTTGATGATCAAGACATTCACAAAATCAAGCATCAATAATACAATAGATAGAAGCTTATCTGGGGGGGGGGGGGTGAACATGGTTTCTACTAGTTGTACAACATTGTACTATTGTACAACAGTGGACTATTTGCTAATATACCCATGGTAGAGTTACCAATCAGAATTCACAATTTGAATACATAAATTATAGATGAGATGGAGAAAGATGAGAGGTCCTTAAGCTTTTATAGGGGGGTGCACATGCACCCTGTGCTCCCCCTGGTTACCGCCCTGAGAATGACCACACAATATTGCCTGTGACTTTGTGCCAGATATAGTCCCAAATAGCTCTTTATCTTGGGTATAAAGGTCTAATTCCCATGTTAGATAATGTGTTATTCTCTTGAGAATAATTCTTGGTTTAAGTTGTGCATATTCATGTGTCTTCTCATGTGCAACCAATAAACAAAGAAATGATACTCTAGAGAATGACACATGGTCTGTAATAGTATTAAAGAAATAGAAAATGTGCATGCGCGCTGTGTGCAGTTATGAAGCACACAGGGGTTGGCAGAACAAGAGAGAAGGAGAAGCACAACATGTAGCAGAGTGCTTCTTGACACTTCTAGAATGTTATGCCAATCCTCAAGTGCTTAATATAACTCCACACAGCACAGCAAGCAAGTTTTTTTATTTCTTTTATAAAATACAAATGACAATAACCCTTACTTTAGATAGGAATGACGCAACTGAAAGTGCGCACCGTGCTGTGTGCTCTCATAAAGCTTGCGCTTCAAACCAATCAGAATGGGAGATTATTAACAGTTATTTCTACATTCTCAAGTTTTATCAATATTCCTACCTGCTACTGTAGTGAAGTCATAGCTGGCCTGAATCCCATGGTAAATTAAGAACTGGCGAATAAAACCTTTCAAAAAGGTTTAAAAAATCTATAAATTCAAGAACAAAAATAAGAAAGAATTACTTATACGAAAAAAATTAAAACTTGGCATTTAATGAACTAAATAACAACATATATATACTGATACGAACTCAAATTAACAGATCAAAAACAGTTTTCTGTGTTTGATACTCTGATCAAAACACGCGGGATGTTGGGAGAACAAGAGAGGAGCATAGGAAACCACGACAAGTAGCGGAGTGGTTTCCAGCTTCTCGAGTTTTCTCGATGTTTCTCTCAGGAACATCTTTTTAAATTTCTACTGTTGTTAAGTTTAATCTTGGGATAAAATAGTCAAAAAAAGGTTCGAAATAAACAAAGTTTTCTTACACTTTTAATAATTAATCGTATTGTACTTGAATTCTTAAGAATACAGCACCTAAATAGTTGAA